CACAGTTTCCCATATTTCCCTGGGACTCGACGATTAATTGTGTCTGTGTGTTTCTTTCCCTCCTGAGAGGAGTCTGCGCCCTGTGCAGGGCTGGCCTCCGGTGCGCGGCCTCCGGGGGCCGCGGAGCGGCCAGGCCCGCGCGCGCGGGCCGCTGCCGGGGGGGGGGGGGCCCCGCGTGCCCGCACCGGCGGTGCCTCCGGCGAGGGGTCGCTCGGGCCTCGGGTCCTCACTGATGGGGCTCAGGGGCACACAAGTAGATACACACAAACCCCAGAGTTCCCCATTTTTGGTCATACACCATCTATATATACATTATGTATATATAAGCATTTCAATATATAAGTACATATATATATATATATATAGATATATATGCACATGCATTCATGCATACATACATACTAGAACCATCGCGCGCTCTTCGCGCGCCCTCAAGTTCTAGGTAGGCTTCAGAGGTTGACCCATGTAATACCATTTTGGTCGCTTCTTGCGTCCAAGGACTCCCTTGGAGGCCCTGCACAAGCCTCGGAATCGTACAGAAGGGGAAGTGCGGAAATGCAGAAATCATCAATTTCCTTTTAGGTATTCAGCGATTTGGGGCCCTCACAGGCTTCCTGGGTTCTTTTTTGGGAGGTGAGGGGGGTCTGAAGTGTGGTCTGCTGTGCAAGGATAGACGGGGGGCCAAACTTGGAGAAAAAAGGAATTGTGGGATTCCCATTTTTTTCCAGTTCCTCGGCGCTGTCCGGCGCTATTTTTTGTGTGCCTCGCGGGTTTTGTTAGCCGGGCCCCTCAGGGGACTCTCTTGGGGCCTTCTGGAGGCCTCCTGGAGGACTGGAGAGTTGTCGGAAGGGTGTCTCGGGCTGCGCGGGAGCGTGTTGGGCCGTTCTTTAAGTTCTGGGGGCTCCTTGGGGTCGTCATGAGCTGTCCTTCGGCGTCTTGGGGTATCCCCCCGAGAAGCCGGGAGGCGCGGTACCGGCCAGATGTCAGGGGATGTGTAGGACCCTCGAGTGGGAGTCCCACTTTGAAAAACATATTTTTTTGTTCAAAATCCTCGATTTTCGAGGGTTGGAAACGGGAAAACGTGAGAAGGCGAAAAACATTAGAAAAACCATGCGAAATCAACGAATTCACCCTCTTTGGGCTCTCTCGGGACGGCTGTCGCAGCTCTCTTGAGCTGTTCTTGGAGCCTCGTCGGGGTCTTTTTGGGGCCTCTCGGATCGGGGGGGTGTTGGGGACCTCTGGGGTTCCAGGAGGCCCCTCGGAGGTCTCTGGAAGCCTCCTGCTCCCGCTCTTGGGCCCATCTTGGGCCTGTTCTGGAGTGGTCTGGGGCTGTCCTGGGCGCCTCTTCGGCAGTCTTGGAGCCTTCTTGGCCCGTCTTCGGGCCGTCCTGAGGGTCTCTTGGGTGGTCCTGGGGCGGTCTTGGGAGCCTCTTCGGCGCTCTTGGAGCGTTGGAAGCTCGAAAACGCGAGAAGCCAAACATATTGAAAACACTGAAAATCTTCGACGTTGGCCTCTTCGGGCCGTCCCGGGACGCCTCTCGGACCTCTCTTGGGGTCTCTTGGAGGTTACCTGGGAGCCTCGAGAGCCGTCGGAAGGCTGACTTGGGCTACTTGGGAGCGTCTTGGACCATCCTTTCGCATTCTGGGGGCTCCTGGGAATCGCCTTGGGCCCTCCTGCAGCGCTGTGGAGGCTCCTCGGAACGCCCGGGGGAGCGGTACTGGGAGCGTTCCCGAGATGTCACGGGGAGGTGTGGCACCCGGGGAGGGGGTGGTGGTATGTATGTATGTATGTATGTATGTATGCATGCATGCATGCATATGCATGCATATGCATATGCATATGCATATGCATATGCATATGTATATGTATATGTATATGTATATGGATATGTATATGGATATGTATATGTATATGTATATGTATATGTATATGTATATGTACATGTACATGAACATGTACATGTATATGTATATGTGTATGTATGTATGCATGTATGCATGTATGAATGTATGAATGAATGTATGTATGTATGTATGTATGTGCATATATACAGCATATACATCATTTACATCACATACATCATATACATCATATATATACATATATATATATATGTACACGTACTGTTTTCTTTGGGAGCCTCGTCTTCCCCACACTTCCCCTATTTCCTTGTATCGTCTTGGGGGTCGACGATTCACTGTGTCTGTGCGCGTGCTTTTCCCCTCCCGGCTCACGGGACACGGGCCCCGGACCGCTGGGGCCTGTCCCCCTGGGACCGGCTCCTCGCCCCGAGCGGCTCTCGCAAGCCCGGGGCCCGGGGAGAGGCCGAAGCCGGCCCCAACCCCAGGACCCATCACATCCAGAGGGCAAACGAGAATCCACCCCATAAGAGCTGCCCCGACACGCGACGCCGTTTGCTAAACACCCCCACTGAAAGAATCGAAACGGGCAGGGCTGTTTCGTAGAAGCCCAAGGCCTCTTAATAAACGCCAGTTGTCCGGTCCGGGTGGTTTTCCGTCACTTGAATATTGATCCCACCATCGATCTCCCCATCTCGGGCCAGGCGCAAGGGGGGGATCTCAAAGGGGGGGGGTTGAGAATCGGCTCGCGTAGCCGATTTTCCCGGCGCCTCCCGGCGCCGGAGGCGGCCATGCATGGAGGAGTGGGCCCCTCGGTGGGGCTGAAGCCAGCTGCATGCAGCAGATTTCGTAACCACCCCTTTCCCTATCCCCCCCCTTTTCGTCTGGCCCGACTATCGATCTCACAATCGATCCCGATCTATCAGCAACACTAATCTTCAAGCCATCCGCTGATTGGGGTCTTCTCTGGTGAAATTCAATCCCAGGGCCTGGGGAGGGTCCGGGGAGGGCCCCGGGAGGCCACAGACGACCCCAACCTCAGGACCACTCTGTCTGGTGCCGCACTGGCGCCCGAGGCGCCACGTGTGCCGAAGAGCACGCCGGGTGCCGGGCCCGACACCTTCTGCATGCAGCAGACTGCAGTGCCCGCCCTCCTGTCGCCCGCTCCCCGTTTCCCCTCTCAGCTTCTGTTTTCGTCTCATCTCCTGCCGCTCGTCCTGCGCCCTGGGGGATTTGTTTTCAGTGTCTTCCAATCTCCCCCCCGTTTCCAACCCGCCGCGTTCCTGGGGGTCCCACGACGGTCACGACGGTGCGGTAACAGACGAGAAACCTCGGAGGCCCCAAGAATCGCCCTCGGAGAGCGACCCCGAGTCCCAAAACCCGTGCAGGCGCCCCAACGCCCCACAGACTCACCCGACGGTGCATTCTGGGGGCCCCCGAGAAACTCTCGGAGCCTGGCCCGGTACTCGGGTCCAGGAAAAGGAGAAGCGCACCAAACATAAACTTTTGGCGCTCCGCGCGGGCTTCTTGGATCTACGCTGGACCCCCCTCCCTGGCGCGCGGAGCGCGCCAGGGGCGGCGCCGGAGGCGCCGCCGAGGGGGCCCAGCGCGGATCTAAGAACCCACGCGGATGAAGGGGAACTGGGACACACAAATAAATACACACAAATAAAAATATCCCCAATATTTTCCCATATTTTCTGTGTTTTTGTCTTCCCCCCCACTTCCCATATTTTTCCATATTTTCTGGGAATCGACGATTAATTGTGTCTGTGTGTTTTTTTCCTTCCTGAAACTCGGCTCTCTGGCGGCCGCTCGGAAGACCCAGGCAGCCCCGGAGCGCGCTCGGCGAGGCGGGGCTGCCGGAACGCATCCCCGAGGCTGGAAAACCATCAGAACCTGCGCTCGCCCGACCCGAAGAGTCTGCACTCCTCCTCCTCCTCCTCCTCCTCCTCCTCCTCCTCCTCCTTCTCCCTCCCTCCCTCCCAGCCCGCCTCGGGGACCTGTCGACCTGGGCCAATCCAGCCCAGTCGGGCCTCGCAGGATCCTGCAAACTCCTGCAGGGTCCTGCGCCCAAGCCCGGGCCAAGGCGACCCTGGCTCTGCGGGGTCCTGCGAGACCCGGCGCTCAGACTGACCCCCGATTGCATTGACTTAGATCGGGCACGTCCCCCTACAGGCGGATCACGGGCGAAAAAACAAGAAATAGCGAAACAATGCACAACAAAAAATCAAAAATAGTCAAAACATCGTCCCCAGACTATGTTGTGACTGCTTTTGAACATTCCTCCTGTAGAGGGACACGCCCGACTTGAGCATTAACCCCCGTGTCTTGGGCCCCCACCGACTCGGGGATCTTCTGACCCGGATCAACCCAGACCTGGGTCAGTCAGGCCTTGCAGGATCCTGCAAGATCCTGCAAGATGCTGCACCCCAACCTGGGTCAATACGAGGGATCCTGCAGGATCCTGCAAGATCCTGTACCCCAACCCAGGTCAGTGCGACCCTGGCCCTGCAGGATCCTGCAAGATCCGGCGCTCTGGCTGAACCCCGCTTTAAAACAGGGCTAGGATCGGGATAAATCGATCCAGAGCGTTCCGGAGCGCTCTCAGAGCGTTCCGGAACGCTCTGGAGCGGCCGCGGCGCCCAACACTTCCTCCAAACCCGCCGATCCTCAGAGATTTCGAGCTATCCCGATCCGATTTTGTCCCGATCTTCGCGTCGTTTTACGCTTGCCTCGACCCCTGTCTCAAGGCTCCCGACCGACCCGAGGATGAAGGGGCCCTGGGACACACAAATAAATACACACAAATAAAAATACCCCCCATACTTTCCTATATTTTCTGGGCTTCTGTCTTCCCCCCCACTTCCCATATTTTCCCATATTTTCCTGGGGATCGACGATTAATTGTGTCTGTGTGTTTCTTTCCCTCCTGAGAGGAGTCTGCGCCCGAGGAGTCTGCGCCCTTGATGGGCGTGTTTTCCACCACCACCACCACCACCACCATAAGTTGGAGGGGAGGGGTCCTCCTCCTCCTCCTCCTCCTCCTCCTTCTCCTCCTTCCCCCCTCCAACTTATGGTGGTGGTGGTGGAAAACAGGCTCATTAGCCCTGGCCCGCCGCCCTTCGGCGCGCCGCCGGCTCTCCTGCGCGGGGGCCGGGCGGCCCCCTCGGCGAGCTGCCCGCACGCGGTCGGCGCAGGGCGGGCTCCGGGACGGGGCGGGGCCCGGCAGGGGGCTGCGTCCGAGGGGGTCTGGAGGCCTCCTCCTCCTCCTCCTCCTCCTCGTCCTCCTCGTCCTCCTCGTCCTCCTCCTCCTCCTCCTCCTCCTCCTCGTCCTCCTCCTCCTCCTCCTCCTCCTCCTCCTCCTCCTCTTCGTTCTCCTCCTCGTTCTCCTCCTCGTTCTCCTCCTCGTTCTCCTCCTCGTTCTCCTCCTCGTTCTCCTTCTCGTTCTCCTTCTCGTTCTCCTCGTTCTCCTCATCCCTGATTCTCCTCCTGCATCCCTTGTCCTTGCAAATAAATCCCTGTCGCACCAGGAGGCGCGTTGGTAGGGCCTGGACGTTGCGCCTGATACTTCCTCACCAACAATGACCCTTAAGCTGAACATGTGCAACAGTTTCACGAATGGAGGGCGGGTTGTTTTCAACATGTGGCTCTCGTCTCAACACCGCGCACACTCATCTTACACATTGAAAGACTTTCGCGGCTGGTGGTCGGTCGGTTCTAAACATCTGTCTCGCCCAGCGCCGCGCACAGTCGTGTTAAACATTGCAGAACAGCTTCGTGGATGGAGGGCGGGTGGTTTTCAAAATGTGGCTCTCGCCTTAGCGCCGCGCGTATTCGTCTGAAAGGATTACAGCAATTTCAAAGGTTCTGATGGCTGACGTCCTAGAAATACGTAATGTTCGAGTGCGATGCAGGAGTGTCAGGGCGAAACAATTACATTGATTCGCGGCTTGAAGTCCCAAGAATTGCATTCTGGCACGATTCAGGATCGTCAGGACGCAACGGTAACGTTGATTCGCGGCGTTGAAGTACTAGGAATGATGTTCTGGCACGGTTCAGGATTTTCAGACGATTGTCTTCCCAAGGGGCCCTTCCCTCAATGAAAATTAACCCTTGTAGGGACCTGTGAAGAGGGAATCTGGAGGGACGGTTTATTACAACATCGTTGATGAGTCTTGGGTTTGCACTGGTCCCCCTCTTCCTCCTCCTCCTCCTCATCTTCCTCCTCCTCCTCGCCCTCGGCCACGTCGCCGGCCACCTCCTCCCTCTCCTCCTCCTACTCCTCCTCCTCTTCCTGCTCATCGTCGTCGTCCTCGTCGTCGACCTCACCCTGCTCATTACTCCTCCTCCTCTTCCCCCTCCTCCTCCTCCTCCTCCTCCTCCTCCTCCTCCTCCTCCTCCTCCGCAGCATCCTCCTCTACCTTCCCATCTTCGTCCTTCACGTACACCTAGCCTGACCCCCTCCCACCCGCCTAACTCCACCCCGTCAAAGGAAGAGGCCTCCTCCTCCTCCTCCTCCTCCGCCTCCTCCTCCTCCTCCTTCTCGTTCTCCAACTCACCTTCGTCGTCCTCCTCCACGTCGTTCTCCTCCACGTCGTTCTCTTCCTGGTCCCTCATCCTCATCCTCCTCTGTCTCGTGTTATCCTCATCCGTTACCTCCTCCTCCTCGTCCTCTTCCTTCTCCTCCTTCCTGCCTTCTCGCTGCCCTCCTCCTCAATCCATCTATCTATTCATGCATCCATCCATCCATCTGGCCGTCCGTCCGTCCGTCCGTCCATCCATCCATCCAACTATCCATCTATCCATCCATCCATCCTTCCATCCTTCCATCCATCCATCCACCCAGCCAGCCACCCATCCATCCATTCATTCATCCATCCTCTCTCCCTCGTTCCTCTCTCTCTCTCTCTCTCTCCCTTTTCCTCCTACTCAACCTCACCCCTCCTGCCTCCTTCCTCCCTCCTCCATCCATCATCCCTCCTTCCTCCCCACTCCCCTGAACCCACCGCTGTGGACCAGCAAAGGGGGGTCAATGTGAATAGGGTTTGGGACATCCCGCCTGACCTCCCACATGGGGCCAGAGCAGTCCCAAGATCGCCGCGCGTCATCGATGCTTCGGCGATACGTCGGCATGAAGAAGATCGTGCCCCATTTCCACATCGCCGATCAAGGATGCGGTGCCTTGCGATCTCGGGCCCCCATTAGCTCCAGCCTCACTTTGGAAGCGTGGGGGGCTGACAAACATCCCTTCCGCACTGACCCGGGGCCCACTTTGCTGGGAATGAGCGGAGGTTTTAAGGGATGGGGAAGGGAGGAGGGGAGGGAGGACAAGGGAGGATGTATGAGGAGGTAGGGAGGAGTGAAGAGGGAAGGGCGGAAGGAGGCACGAGGGAGAAAGGGAGGGAGGAGGGAGGAAGGCAAGGAGGAAGAGGAGGGGGCGGGAAAGACGGACGGAGGGAAGTTTGGCCAGCCCCACTCTGCCTGCAGCCCCCGTTCGAAACCCTCCCCGAGCTGGTGCTCGGCGCATGTTTGGCGACAAAAAAAGGCCCGGGTGCCTGGTTGTTCGGCCACCCTGGCCAGGGGGGCCCAGGAGTATCCAAACAGATCTCCACGAGCCAAGAACAGCCTCCTCTTCCTCCTCCCTCCCTCTCTCCCCTCTCCCTGGCTCATCCCCCTCTTCTTTCCTACTGCTGATATCCCTCACTCCATCGTTCCTGTCTCCTATTTCCTCCCTCCTCCTCCTCCTCCACCACCTCCTCCCCCTCCTCCTCCTCCTCCTCCTCCTCCTCCTCCTCCCTCCCTCCCTCCTCCCTCCTCCCTCCCTCCCTCCCTCCCTCCCCTCCCCTCCCTCCCCTCCCTCCCCTCCCTCCCCTCCCTCGCCTCCCTCCGCCTCCCTCCTCCCCCCCTCCTCCCCCGCTCTCTCCTCCCTCCTCCCTCTTCCCTCTTCCTCCCCCTCCTCCCCCTCCTCTCCCTCTCCCCCTCCTCCCCCTCCTCCCCCTCCTCCCCCTCTTCCCCTTCTCCCCCTCTTCCCCTCCTCTCCCTCCCCCTCCTCCCTCTGCTCCTCTGCTCCTCTGCTCCTCTGCTGCTCCTCCTCCTCCTCCTCCTCCTCCTCCTCCTCCTCCTCCTCTTTCTCCTTTCCCTTTTCCTTCTCCTTCTCCTCCTCTCTCCTCTCTCCTCTCTCCTTCCTCTTCATTCTTCCTCTCCCCTCTCCTCTCTCCTCTCAGGGGAGGGGAGATCATCCAGAAGCGGCAGACTTTGCTGGCCTCTGGGGGGGGGAGGCTCGATTGCTCATGGACCCAGGCTCTTGGGGTGGCTGGCCGGCCAAGCAGCTGGGGGGCTCAAAGGCCATGAAGCCGACCCAAGCAGGCTCGGCTCAGCTGCTCGGGTGCCCCTCGTTTCCTCCCACAGTGTCCTCCTCCTTACTCCTTAATCCTTACTTTGTACTCCCCGATCCTAATCCTGCTTCTGCTCCTGCTCCTGCTCCTCCTCCTCCTCTTCCTTCTACTGCCTTCATACTCCGTCCCTCCCTCCCCCCCCCTCCTCTTCCCCCTCCTCCTCCTCCTCCTCCTCCTCCTCCTCCTGCATCCTCCTCCTCGTCCTCTTCCTTCTCCTCCTCCTCCTCCGCCTCCTCATCCTCCTCCCTCATCGTATCCTCCTCCTGATCCGCCCTCCTCCTTCCGCTCTGTTCCATCCTTCCACTCCCTCTTCCCTCTTCCTCTTCCTCCTTCTTCCTCATCGGTCTGTTCTGAATGATCCTCGAGTCGCTGAGGAGACACGCAACACTGCATCTGTTGGCAGTGCTTTGGCGGACATAGCGCCCCACACCTGCACAACGCGCCACTTGCGGCAACGTTCGAGATGCAGAAAAACGGATAGGCCGTGACTGACCACGAATCTACCCAATCGTCGCTAGATCCCAATCGACCTCACTACACTGAACTAACGTAACTAGAGAGGTGCCTGGCACGGATTATTCACTCCCGGCGCTGCCAAAACTTACGTTCATTGCCCAACATGAACCACGACACGTGATGCCAACGCATGCCGCTACGGTACGATGGCAGGGGAACACATGAACACTGCGCTGACAACTGGGATGGAATTGGCGAACGGGAATTCTGTTCTGTGTGGGGGGGAGGGGCGACGTTACCCTTCGCCGCTATTGGGCAAGTCCGTCTCCCCCACCTCCCCGTCCTCGCTCTTCCTTCCTCCACCCTCCTCCCCGCTGCACGCTGCGTGCAGCATGGCGAAGCCAACAATCCACTTCCAAACGCTGCGTTGGTTTGGACACGGGAGGAGGGTACGGAGGCGGGAGGATGAGGGAGAGTATGAGGAGGATGGAAGAGGATGAGGAGGAGGAGCAGGAGGAAGAGGAGGAAGATGAGAGGGAGGAAGGAGGAAGAGAAGGAAGGAGGACTGTCGAAGCTGTCTCTTGGGACACGGGCAAACTATTACGGTGCTCGTGCCCTGCGAGATCTGTGTGATCCGAATGGGTCTGGGTCCCTGCACCCTTCAACTGGTAAATGTGCCTATGAGGTATCAGCTGTGTACCATAACCTCGAAACTTTCGCCCCAAGGGCTACCACACGACTGCGAGGCACAAGTCACAGCTGGCCCCTGGGCCACCCCACGACCGTGGAGCAGACGCATTAACCATAAACTATGACATGGCCTGTCCGCATGGAAAACTGCTCGCATTGCACATATACTTGGACTGGCCGATGAAAAGGGGACTTGTACGGAGGGTTTAATGCAACATCGCTGATGCATCTTGGGCTTGCACTGGTCCTCCTCTTACTCCTCGTCCTCCTCCTTTTCCATTACATTTCCTTCTATATATACATATATATATATACATAATTCCTCCGTGCCGTGCCCTCATGCGCGTCGGTAGCGCGGGCTAAGCATTTCGTCTGGACTTTCCGTATTATTATGTTCTTGAAGCTAGAACTTTGCAACGGTTTCAAACTTGGAGGACGGGTGGTTTTCAAAACGCGGTTCTCGCCTTACCGTCGCGCGCATTCGTCGTGTAAGTGTGCAGCAACTTCAAAGACGGATGTCCGCTCCTTTTCACAATGTGGTCTCCGCCTGAGCTCCGCAAGCAGACGTCTTAAACGTATGCTACAGCTTCAAATATTTGAGGGCGGGTTGATTTCAACATGTGGCTCTCGCCTTGGCGCCGCGCAAATTTACATCAACAGTAGTTTCAAAGGCAGAGGGCGAATGGTTTTCACAATGCTGCTTTCCCCTTGGCACCGCGCGCATTCGTTTGCGTGAACTTGAACGATGGGGGTGGTTCTGCGTGAACTTGAACGATGGGGGTGGTTCCTTCTCAAAATGTGGCTAGTAGCATTCTGGCACGACTTCGGATTGCCGCGGCGCAACCTCCACGTCGATTCGCGGCGTTGACGCCCTCAGAACGGTGTTTCGGCACCACTCAAAATTCTACGGCGGACGTCTTTCAACGGGGCACTTCCCGCAATGAGGATACACGTGGTCTGTTTTTCTCGAAGCCAGGCGGGCTGCAAAACCGCCAATCACGAAAACAGTTCGCCCAGCAGCCGGGCCGCAGAAAGGTATGGGGCCGAGCGCGAGAGATCCCCCAGCTCGGCGACCCGACAACTCCAGACCCCTGCGCAGATCCGCAAGGAGGGAATACCAGGGCGGGCGCGTGAACCAAGATAGGTCGCGGCACCGGGCGCCGCGACTCCCGGGGCAGCCAAGTCCCGAATGGGCACTGAGCATCGAGCATGTGATAAACGCTGAGCATGTGATCTCTGTGATTTCCCAAGGCCGGGTGGAGTGCCCGGACGCCGGTCGCGAGAGCAGTTCGCCCAGCAGCTGCACCGCAGAAAAGCAAGAGGCCGAGCATGAGAGACCACCCCAGCTCGGCGACTCGACAACTCCGAAACAGCTCCACAGCATACCCTGGCCGGGGCTTTATCGCGTCACCGAAGTCACTGTGAGAGCAGGTTTAAGCATTTGGCGGCAACGCTTCGATGGTGAGCAGCGCAGGGCCGAGGCGGGCAAGGCTCTGCCCATTTGCTGCGCGCGATGCCGCGCTGGCGGTTGCCAGTGGTCCCCGCGCGAAGCGTTCCCGAGGAAGAACAGGCACCGCGGCCATTGTTTCCGCGTGAGGCTATCTCAAAGGGGGTGTGCGCAAAAATTGCGCCCGCTTGCGCAGCGCCCCCCCCCCCCCCCCGTGCGCAAACATCGGCGACGCGGCGTCGATTCCCTGAGACCTGGGCAGAACCTCTTTTTCCCCAGTCGGAGCTTGCCTCCGTAGGGGTCCTAACGGATTCATGTGTGTAAATAACCTGCGTCGCCGATTTCGGTGGCCGGGCCTGGGTGCCTGGGTGCCCCGGGGTGCCCGGGGTTGCCTGGGTGTCCGGTTGCCCGGGTGCTCTGTCGCCTCATAGCCCTTTAGCCCAACAGCCCAATAGCCCATATAGCCCTATAGCCCTATAGCCCTGTAGCCTTATAACCCTATAGCCCTACAGCCCTACAGCCCTATAGCCCAATAACCCAATAGCCCAATATCCCATATAGCCCATATAGCCCTATAGCCCTATAGCCCTACAGCCCTACAGCCCTACAGCCCTATAGCCCGACAGCCCTATAGCCTTGTAGTACCATGGCCTTAATGCCCCATAGCCCCATAACCCTATATCCCTAAGAAAATTCGGATCGGGTTTTCTCTGATATCATGATAAGGGTTTCGCGTTCCACGAGAGGCTGGCGCGCGGATTCCAATGACAAGGGGCGCCCAGCATTCTACGCAGGTCCAGGAGGCCCGAAACAACTCTACGCAACCAGGTCGCAACGTCGACGGTGCGCTGGTCTCATGGAAAGAGGCCAGGCAGACCGAACGGACAAGCCTGGGACCGAACAGGGGAGTAGAGGCGTCCGAAGGCCGAGAACGGCGAGCAAGGGGGGGCCAGCCACAAAGCCGAGATCAGATCAGCACGAGTCGAGCCGCGACCGTTGCGAACGGGGCTCTCGCTCAGGATATCAAACTGCGGCGCATGCCGACTATTAACTTCGAAAACGAAGACGTCGGTCACTGCCGCGTTCTGATCACTGCGAGTCGGCGGCCCAGAGTCGCCAGCTCGGGGCTGGCCTCTCCGCGCCGGGGCCCGCGGGGCGCGGGCGGCCCCCGCGCGCCGAGGCCCGCGTCGACCGCGGCCTGCGAGAACAGGGCGGCCCAGCGCCTGAGGCGCAGGTCGAGCAGCGGCTGCTTTCCAGCGCGGCCGGCGCGGAGGCGGGCCAAGGGGCCGCTCGCGCGCGGCAGCTCGCGTCGCCGTGGCTGAGCGACTCGCCGAGCTCGCCGACCATCGGCGGGGCGGCGTGCTCCGAGGCGCGCGGCAGAAGCGTCCGCGCCGCCGCGCTCCGAGACTCTGGGGTTGCTCCGGCGGCGGTCCAGCGACTCATATCAATGAGCTTGTCAGCGACGACCCTGTCGATGGGCTGCTCGACCAGGCAAATCGTCGCAGCCGCGTCGAGCAGCTGGGGGGTCGAGATCGCCGTCTGGACGCTCTGGCGCCGCAGGGTGAACAGACTCGCGACGTGCGCGCGCCCGCCAGCCTGAGGGCTCGGCGCAGTCCGCTTCGCAAGCAGGATCAAGTCGAAGTCGTCGGTCGCGGGGGGCCCGCTTCGCAATCTCGCCGGCGGCGGGCCGTTCGGTCCGACTGGCTAGATCCCGAGGGGGGGCCCGCACAGGCTCGCCGCCAATCGCCCCCTGGCCCCCCGTCCGGCGGGAGCGGCCGCTGGCCGGGCTGCCCTCGGCGCCGGACGCCCAGCTGAACCCGGGCGTGAGGGGGCGCGCGCGCGTCGGTCTCGCTGGCCTGGGGCGCCCAGGCTGACTGAAGCGCGCTGCGGCCCAGGGGCCCGGGCGGCGCGCCCGACGGCTGGGCGGGCTCGCGAGGGCGACGGGGGCCCCCGGCCCAACCGTTCCGCTGCCGCCATGGGCCCCAACTAGCCGGTGTGCGTTCGGAAGGAGGCCGTCCCCAGCGAGCTGTCATGCCGAAGGCCAGGTTGAGGCCCGAATATTGGCGGCAGAACTGCGCCTGGCGACCGCGCCCTGGTCGCGGCAAAAGCGTCGGCCGCGGCGCCCTCCGAGAACAGGCGGCGCTCCCCGAAATCGGCCAGGGGGCGCGTTTTGCGCGCGCGGGCCAAGACCGCGCAGCCCTCCAGGATCACCACGGGCTATTGAGAGGGCCCATCTCCTCGCCAAAATCCGGCGCCGGAAGACGCCTCAGACGTCTGGGCCGATGTCCAGGACTGCCCCCGAGATCTTCAGGACCGATGGGCCGGCGGGCACCTCGCGAGCAGGCCCGCGCGCGCATTGCGACCGAAGCGCGGCGCAGCTAGGGCGCGATCGCGAGGGCGGCGTCTCGCCTCCACCTCGTCGTCGCGAGAGAACCGCGACCTTCCGTTGAGCTGGCCAAGCGACTGGTCGCCAGCCTGCGAAGCGCCGCTGCGCAGCGCGCCCGCCCCAGGTCGAAGCGCCAACAGCCGAGGCGCCCTCCGACCAGAACGCCGGGTGATCCCGCGACGCCAATGGGATGGGGCCAGCGGCCCAAACCAGCCAGCGACGCGCGCGAGGCCAGTGTCGGCGGCGACGGGGCACGGCGTCAGCTGCGGAGGTGCAGCAGGCAGGCAATGCAGAGAGCCTCTCTAGACGAATACGACCACGCGCGGCGCGACGTGACGTGATGATCTCCAACAAGGCTTCCCCACTCACGAAGCCCTCGCGAAGGATGTTCAAATCGCACGCCGAGGGCGGCCCGCGAGGGTGGCCCAGCGCGGCGGCTCCGGGCGTCAGCTCGCGCCTGACTTCATCGGCCTTCTTTCTCGCGGCCTCCCTATTCTCTCCGGACGCGAAGAATTTGTCGACGGACCGCGAGGAATTGGGTGCAAGCTGGGAAAAAAGGTCGGTCACCGACGATGGCATGTCCTGCTCTTCCGCGACGTTTGGCGCGAGCAGAGACGCGCGCCCCAGAGTCTGCCGGCGTGCCTGCAGGGGCAACTTCCAGCCTATGGGTTTCATGTCCAGGACTGGGAACAAATGCTGCCCTCGCCAGACGGCCCGTCGCGGGCCGTCGAGGCGCTCGCGGGGGAGGTCGGCGCGGGCGCGCAAGTGCATGAGCGTGAGCCGAAGGGCCTCTTCGAGCTGGATGTTATAGAAGGCTTTCACCACGCCCGCCGCGCCGACCTGGAGGGGCGCAGAGCCGTCTACGTCTACCTCCGAGGCGGCGAAGCCAACCCCGCTAGCCAGCGAGACTGGGTCGCCGTTCCGAAGGGGGCGCGGGGGCACCCGACCATCGACAATTCGCCGATCGTTGCGGGACTTTTTGCAAGCGAAAAAAAAACAGCGCGAGACTTCGCCGGGCAACTGCCGCTCGATCTAGTCGCAACCAGCCAGTCGACGCAGCAACTCCGCGCGCAAGGCTGGCGACCGTTTCAGACCTGGGTCAGAGCGGGGTCGAACGTGCCCGGCCCGCGCGTCTTTGCACTCTCTTTGCTGGTGGCGCCCCGATCTCCTGCAAGCTGCTGAGAAGTGCCCAGCAATCGACTCTGCAGACGGCAGGTCGATCATGTGGGTCGGGCCCGCGTTGGGGGAACCGATCACGGCGCCTTCGCCGTGGATGCTCTTCGCCGGGGGCGCTCGGATACCACCTGGGCCGCTCGCGTCGCCCGGCGGCGGCGCCGTGGAAAAAACCGCCCAACATAATCAGACGAATGGTGGCCTGATGACTGGCCGACGGGGCCGTGGATATCCGTGGACAAGACGAACCGCTCCACCAGTGTACGCGTCATCGCACATCATATCGGCGTGATTTGTGCGCAACAGGTGGCGACGAGTAGACCTGCTAATATGCACAGCAATTCCACGTGGCTCCTGAAACAAAACTGCGCGAGGGCGAGGAAGAAGCAGCATATTGCGATGACGTTCGTCCTGCCGAAAAGCATGGCCAGGAGCAGGCTGCCCCCCGGTCGCCAATCCAAGATTGCCTCCACGCATTGCGTGCGGATGCCGAAGCTGGCTGGGAGGTCGGTCCAGCCCTGGAGGGGCAGACATCATCCCTGTACGTGTCGGATCGTCCTTCGCTCCGTGCGGGTGGAATGACTGCCGCTCTTCCCCCGCCAAGCCGACCTGCGGCAAGATCGCGGCGTCACGATCGTCCTCGAGCGCCGTGTGGGCCACCGCCTCTGTGCAGACCATTGCAATGCCAAGTCCATCGTCATCCACGAAAACCTTGACTTCTCGGCGGAACGATGCCAAGGCCGACGTGTCCTTGCCCGCGGCTTTGGCACCGTGCGACGCCCGCTGGCCCATGTGGCACACGTACTCGAACAAGAGGGCGCTGTGAAATACCAGACCGATGGAGACGCTGTTGATGGCGTCGACCGGGTCGTAACTGGGGCTTTACTCGATGCATATCATGGCGGTGATGGGGCTCTTCCAAGCCCCATTCTCGGCTCTCAGTCCAAGCGTGATGACCGAGACCGATGACAATCGAGCGAACCCAGCTCGGCGCCTGAACAACAAGATCCGTTCCAAGTCCAGGGACACGTCAGCCCGGCAAAACCGACGTCCGCACCTGTAGCGCGGCTCCCGGAAAAGGAGCAAAGATGCAGTCTTCTTCGTAGTCAGGATCGTCGCAATGTCGAGCCGGGGGTCGGGGTGACTCTCCATCGTGCGGTTCTCCTCCGATGGTGTGCCTGAAAGTCACGACCCAACGCGCCAGCCACGGGCGGGGCGGAGAAGATGTGGCCCACGCACAGGCGTTAACAACAGGCTCATTGAAGGATGTCGCTGGCGCCAAAACAACATCAACATTTTTAAGCACATACGTGGCCCATGCACAAGTCGGAACATCATTCCGAGACAAACCTGTTGCCAGAATGCAATGGTAACGCCCATTTCCGCGCGGGCCCGGCTCAGTGTCACCGAAGTCCGGGTTACGTTAGGTGGGTAGTACGTCGGGTAGTGTGTAGCAATCAGGAAACCTGAAGCGCCACCTCGGCGGCGACAAACGACCCAGTTCCCACGGTTGTGGCCCCCCTTCGATCCCCGATGCGCAAGAGCCATGCCCAGAGCAGGACGACCACGCACGCCATGACGATGGGGCGACCGTAACCAGGCGCGCTGGGCAGCTGGGGCCGCAGGGCAGGACAAGAGAGCACCGCGTGGCGGGCAGTAAGGGGCGCTGCGAGCGGCTGGGCAAAGAATGAAGTACGAGGATGCGCCCGCTCTTATCAAGTCGGTCACGCGGCCCCTTTCTGAACCGTGCGTTCGCTCGAACCAAACGAGGTCGCGGGCAGCGGGCGCCGCGACCCCAATGCGGCCGGATCCCGCGACGCACGCAGAGCAACGAGAACGTGATCAACGCTGGGCATTTAGGGACCTATGTGGAGGGAACTCGGGAAGAGTGTTTATTGCAACTTCATTGATGCGGCGTGGGTTTGCAGCAGTCTTCCTATTCCTCCTTCTCCTCCTCCCTTCCTCCACCTCCTCGCTTCCTCCCTCCTGACGGACAAGTTGGGTGCCGTTGCGTCTATAACGTATTCGGCGTGGATGCGTCTATAGACAACGCGGCCCTTGCGTTCGTCGCGGTACAAAATCGGAGAAATCGTAGATCCGTCTACGGTATGTTCCTCTTCTAGAGCCAGTCTCACATGGTACTCAATACTCCAACTCTCTCCCTCTTTTCCTCCCTCCCCGCGGACCGCGTGTCCCCTCGCCCTCTGTACACGCCACCCCCTGACGCCGACGGAGCCCGCGACGCCTCCTTCCTCCCTCAGCCCTCCTCCCTCCCTCCCTCCCTCCCTCCCTCCATCCTCCTCCTCATCCTCTTCCTGGCCCCTGCTGCCTCGCAACGGCGAGCCAGGGGCGCGAGCGCAGAATATCCGGCTCGTCCGCACCCCTCGCCCGGACCGGGTGCGCCTCACGCGCTCCTGGTCAGCGGGGTGACGCGGAGCAGCAGAGATGAAAGGATGAGGAGGAGGAAGAAGAAGAGGAGGAGGAGGAGGGAGAGGAGGAGGAGAAGTAGGAGTAGGAGAAGAAGTAGGAGGAGGAGAAGGAGGAGGGGGAGGAGGAGGAGGAGGAGGAGGAGGAGGAGGAGGAGGAGGAGGAGGAGGGGAGGAGGAGGGGAGGGGAGAGGAGAGGAGGAGGAGGAGGAAGGAGGAAGTAGGAGGAGGAGAGGAGAGGAGGAGGAGGAGGAGGAGGAGGAGGAAGGAGGAGGATGAGGAGGGGGAGGAGGCGGAGGAGCACGAGCAGGAGCAGGAGCTGGTGGAGCAGGAGGAGCAGGAGGAGCAGGAGGAGCAGGAGGAGGAGGAGGAGGAGAGGAGGAGGTGGAGGAGGAGGAGAACGAACAGGAGCAGGAGGAGCAGGGGAGGAGGAGCAAGAGGACGACGACTCTGACCGCAGCTCGAGCGGCCTCCGACCGCCGCATCCGGAGGAATAGAAACCCCGCACAGGCATGACTTGTCCGAGGCCCGCACGGATTTCTTGGATCGGCGCTGGGCCCCCCTGGCAGCGCCTCCGGCGCCGCCCCTGGTGCCGTCCTCGCCGCGCCGGGAAGGAAGGCCAAACGCCGATCCAAGAACTCCGCACTGGCCTTCCAAAGTTTGGAAGGCCAGTGCGGAGTTCTTGAAACTTGAAAAACGCATTGCATGTTTTTCGCACGGGCATCAGGAAAAATCATGAATACTTCTGGACTATTTTAATTGGTTTCCTGCATTTGCAGTACCTAGCGGTATGCTGCCATTGCAATTCCAAACTCTATTCTCATCCCGTTTCTGTACTTCTTCTTCTTCTTCGAAGATCCGTCAGGGACGCACTGACCTCCAACGCAAACCCGGGTCAGTCAGGACCGGCTGGTTTATTCTGCAAGAAGCTGTATGGAATTTCGCTTCCAATCGGCAGACATACGCCTTCTGTGCGTGCCCACTCGAGAGATAGGCGACGCCATGCCGGATCCACGTGAAATAACCAGATCCGCAGATCCCCGTTGTCCAGTGTACAGACAGGAAGCCGCGCGCTCTGCGCAGAATCCTGGTGAGAGGTGCGCTGAATTGGGCAATACATTTGCAGAATCTGTGAAAACATGCTCTGTGTGTGCCTGTCCTAGGATGGCGCGCCCCGCGCGACGAGTCCTCAACAGATAACGACACGCGGAGGCCCCTGGAAGGCCTCAGAAGCCCTTGGGCGCCCCCCCAGTAGGCGTTGGGATTGTGTATTTGTATAATTTGCGAGGGGTCGTGGCCGTGGGAGCGCGGACGCAGCTTGACTAACGAAGGATCATTGCTAGGTTTATGTTGTTCCCATCCTACTTAAGGACCGCATCCCAGAAACAATTTCGAGCACCCGGAAGTGTCGAAAGAGTGTCGAAACAGTGTCGGGCGAGTGTCTCCCAGGGCCCGACACGTGAAAACCCTCGAGCTTAGTTTTTTTTTTTTTTTTTTTTTTTTTTTTTTTTTTTTTTTTTTTTTTTTTTTTTTTTTTTTTTTTTTTTTTTTTTTTTTTTTTTTTTTTTTTATTTTAAAAAAAAAGTTTGTGCTCGAAATTCCTTCTGGTGGTCCAGGCTAAAGTAGGTTGGAACATCATAGTGCTAGGTGAGCGTGGACACTCGGCGTGATCTGCCCGGGGTCGTGGCCCCGGGAGCGCAGGCCCAGCGGAACTGTCAAGGGATCGGACGCCGTGCAGTCTACACCCTGCGAAATGCTTAAGAAATCATGGGTTAAGAAATTCATAGTCTCAGAGATTGAATGTAACCCAGAACTTCTATCAAAATCTTGGGATTTACATTGAAAAATTAAGAATAATCGAGACTCTGGACGAAAACTTAGGTTTTCTTAAGCATCGCCTAAGGTGTACGCTGGACCGTGGCCCAGGGAGCGCTGACCCAGAGCGGCTCGCCAGGGATCGTGGCCCTGGGCGCGGGGACGCAGCGTCCTTTACACGGGGGCCGTGGCTCTGGGAGGCGGAGCGCGGCTCCAGCGCAGGGACTCTGGACCCAGCGTCATCCACGAGGCATCGCGGCTCTGGAACAGACCACAGGCCCGGTGGCATCTCGAGGGGATCGTGGCCCTCTGGGAGTGCGAATCCAGCGGAGAAGACTTAACACGGAGAAAAGAGTTTTTTTTTTTTTTTTTTTTTTTTTTTTTTTTTTTTTTTTTTTTTTTTTTTTTTTTTTTTTTTTTTTTTCCCGGCACCTTCCGCGGCCGGCCCCCCCGGGTGCGTCCCCTCGCCCGCCTTCTGGCTGGCGCGCCCCCCTGGCACGTCTGCAGCGCCTCCCCTGGCACGTTCCGTGGCGCAGCCCATGGCGCGTTCCCATGGCGTGTTCCCTGGCGTGCCCCCTGGCGCTTCCCGTAGCACGTCCCATGGCGCGTCCGCTGCCGCGTCGCCTGGCGCGCCCATGTGGCGCGCCCATTTGGCGCGTTTCCGGGGGGGGGGTCCTCCGTCGCGTGCTCTGGCTGGTCCTCTGGCGCTTTCCTCCGAGGCCGCGCCAACGGCGATGTTGCTTAACGGCGATGTTGGGGATCCGACTTTTGTGACGCCGAGCTCGCGCAGAACAAATGATAAGAAATCACGAACCACACTTTCCTACATTTCAAAAATGCGAATGTAGCAAACGAACACGAGACAGCGAGTTGTAGGAAAGCACGAACCACGCGTTCCTACAATTGGTTTAGCCACGGACCACGCCCTCCTACAATTGGTTTTCCTATACCGCCGCTAGCTAACACACCGTTAGCGCGTCCACCGTCCCTTGCGGGTTTCGTGGCGCGTCCTTGAAACGTACGCACCCTGGCATGCTGTCCCGTGTTAGGCCCCTTGGCACGTCTCGTGGCAGGTTCCTCACATGTCCACGGCGAATCCGACGATGCGTTCCCTGGCACGTCCCCTGGCGCACCCCCTGGCGCACCCCCTGGTGCACCCCTGGCACATCCCGCGGCACGTCCATGCGCCCTGCACCCCTGTCGGTCCGCCCAGTTTCGAACTGGATCGGATCCCTGAGCTCGAGCTGGTGAAGCGCCCTGCACGCCTCGACGGGCTCGTGGCGAGGCATGCGTTCAGGCAGCCCGGGCCAAAGCCACAGACCAGTTGGGTCAAGATACTGACGCGCCAATTGCGACTGGATCGCGCAGTAGAGCGCAACACAGTTCAGCATAACAGGAAGCAACAACGGTCAGCACAGCACGGCACAGCACGGCACAGCGCATCGGTCCCTGGCACGGTATCAACACCATGGACCCCCTCAGCATTGCCACTACCCATTGCCCAAGTGAGGACAGTTCCAGATCCCTTTCCAGTTTCGTTTTTTTTTTTTTTTTGGAACGCATTCGAGTTCGTGGATCGATCATGCTTCAAACGACACATGCTTGCTCAGCTTTTTGCTCCCTATGGGCTTCTCAAGCCCCGACGTGGCTCCAACATTGCCAACTATGGCCTCCACGAGGCCCCCATACAGCGCCGAGACAGCCCCCCCAAAGACTCAGCAGGCCCAAATCATTCGAAAAGGTGTGTCAATGCTTTCGGCTTCCTCAACTTTTGGCTGTCTAAGCCTCAAGCTGGCTCCAACTCTCCCGAGCTGGTTTCAAGTAGGGGCTGGAAAAGCTGCAAGAGGGCTCCGAAGATCCACAAGAGCGCCCCGGGAGTCCCCAGAGAGCTTCCAGTGCCACAGATCGGCACACAAGACTGGGGATCCATGTGGCTGGCCGCAATAATCATGCCTCCAAGACAGCCCCAGAAGGCCCCAAGATAGCCCCAAGGTGGCCAAGGATGGTCCAACATAAACCCCAAGGGGCCCGCGGGAGGCTCAAATCCTTCAAACAACGAAGCTTTGCTCGTGGTTTTGGATTGCTCTACTTCATTTACTACGGGCTTCTGACGCCTCAAGGTTGCTCCAGCATCGCCCAAGATAGCTCCAAGTGGAGCTCAGAAGAGAGAGTCCCAGCAGACCTAGCAGCCTAACAGTCAAGAGCATCGTATAGCACAACCCAAGGTGCCCCCAAAGCCCCGACGTGGTCCCAAATGGCCCACCACAAAACCTAAGGGCCCCCCCGAGCCCCCGGAAGCCCCTGAGACACCCCCATTGAGCCCGCCGACTCATCCCACCCAACTTTTTGTGCCGTTTGGGAATCCCTGGAACTCACCTAACCTCGTGACGGGTGCTCTGGATGCCGTTTGGGCCTTCGTGGAAGTCCTGGGGACACCTATGGGCCAGAGACACCGCCACAGGAGGTTCAGCAAGATTGGCTCCCTGGGCGGCGAACCTGTGTAAAGCCCAGCCTCGGAATGACACTCACATCGTCCACCGTGCCACACTCTGCGGTGAACAGGCTCCTGCAACGTCCAAGCCCGCCTGCCTGCATCGCACATGCCGAACGCGCGTGGCCGATTCCATGGGTAGACAACTCGTTGCCGCACACATTTTCGGCAACCGCTCCTCCTCCTCCTTCTCCTCCTCCTCTTCCTCCTCCTCCTTCTCTAACGGGGGCCAGCTGATACACTGGCGGCCCTTCCAACTTCCTCTTCGGACATTGCCAGACACGATCCTGGCCCAAGGTGCCTCCAACAGCTCTTCGCACCATCTTGGATCCCTGGCCTGGGGGCTCTCTGGGCCTCGGTGAGGTGCTCTGGAGGCTAGCTCCCCCTCCGCTACTGCCTTCGAAATCGATAGACAAGATCAATAACTTTGTCACGGCAGTGCGTGCAGGCTTGGGGGGCGCGGGAGGCAACGGGGACACTACCTCCCAAGGATGTTCGTAAGACTCGTCCAAAGTATCCCCCTGCTTATCAGAACCCTCTCCTTCCGCCGCCTCATAATCTGCATTGCACGGTTCATAACAACCGAATGCAATTTCAATGATGTCACCGATCACGCTTCGTACTACGAGTGGCCCACGCGGGATCCGACCGACATGCAACAACAACAGGGGATGACCCTAGA